TAATTCTACGCCTTTCGAGAGAGTGCAGATTCAGGGCCCTCAGTCTATCCTCATAGGGAAGATTTCTGATACATGGGATCATCTTTGTCATCCTCCTCTGTACGTTTTCCAGAGCATTTATTTCCATTTTGTAATACGGTGACCAGAACTGAGCAGCATAGTCTAAATGAGGCCTAACCAAGGATATATAGAGTTGAAGAACAACCTGAGGACTTCTATTATTTATACTTCTAGATATGAAGCTAAGAATTCTGTTAGCTTTATTGCGAACACTAATGCACTGTTGTCTTGGTTTTAGATTACTGCTAACCAGAACTCCTAAATCCTTTTCGCAATCAGAAGTATTAAGATCTACATTATTTAGTTTATATGTGGCATGGTTATTTACCTGTCCAACATTTAGAACTTTGCATTTGTCAATATTAAACTGCATCTGCCACTTCTCCGACCATTGCATCAGTCTATTTAAATCATCCTGGAGTGCTCTAGTGTCCTCATTAGAATGAATTGGACGGCCTACTTTGGTGTCATCAGCAAATTTGCTTATGTCGCTATTTATTCCCTTATCTATGTCGTTTATGTAAACTGTGAACAACAACGGGCCCAACACTGACCCCTGAGGAACACCGCTTGTGACGTGCCCCCATTCTGATTTCTCCCCATTTATGCAAACTCTCTGCTGCCTATTTGTCAGCCATGCCCCTACCCAGAAAAAAATTTCTCCTATTCCGTGTGCTTTAAGTTTCCTCAATAGCCTCTGGTGTGGAACTCTATCGAAAGCCTTACTGAAGTCCATATACACAATATCATATTCATTACCATGATCTACCTCCTCAAACACCTTAGTGAAAAAAGTTAGTAAATTCGTAAGACAGGAACGCCCCTTTGTAAAACTGTGTTGAGATTCATTAATCAATCTGTGCCTATCAAGATGGCTACGAATTGCTTCGGCAATTATTGATTCCATAAATTTTCCCACTATGGAGGTAAGGCTTATTGGTCTATAGTTCGAAGTCAAGAACCTGTCACCTGCCTTGTAAATAGGTATTACATTCGCCATTTTCCACTTATCAGGCACTATGCCAGTTTGTATTGATATGTTAAAACGATTAGCCAAAGGTATGCTAAGTTCCTCTTTACATTCCTTTAACACCCTTGCAAACAGTTCATCAGGGCCTGGGGATTTGTTAGGTTTTAGTTTCTCTATTTGTCTGAGGACCATGTCACTAGTTACTGCAATCGTGCATAGTTTATCATCATCCTGTTCTACAGAATCTATTTCAGGAATATCGCTAGTATTTTCCTGGTTGAAAACTGAGAGGAAGTAGGTATTGAGAATTTCACACATATCCTTATCACTGTCAGTGATCTGACCAGAGTTACTCTTAAGTGGGCCAATCTTGTCCCTAATCTTACTTCTGTATACCTGAAAGAACCCTTTTGGGTTAGTCTTTGAATCCCTTGCGACCTTAGCCTCATAATCCCTTTTTGCTTTTCTTATTCCTTTCTTTATTTCTCTCTTTAATTGAATATATTGATTTCTTAACTGTCCATTCCCTCTTTTGATACGCTTATATATGCCTCTCTTTTGACCAATGAGATGTTTTAATCTATTGTTCATCCATTTGGGATCATTTTTGGTAGATCTAATTTCCCTACTCGGAACAAAAGTTGTCTGGGCAGCTAGAACTATGCTCTGCAAAACGTTATATTGGCAACCAAGATCACCTACCTGACCCATAGTCAGGACATCCCAATTTAGCCCACCCAGGTAATTTTTCAGTCCCATGAAGTCGGCCAAGCGAAAATCAGGGACAGAGATTTGATTGCAGTTATCTGGGTAATTCCATGATATATTGAAACTAAGTGATTTGTGATCACTTTCCCCAAGCTCATCGTTAACCTCAAGATTATTAATTAGTGAATCTTTGTTGGCAAGAACCATGTCAAGCAGATTGTTTCCTCTAGTTGGTTCTGTCACAACCTGTTCTAAAAAGCAATCCTGAACCGTATCAAGAAAGTCACTACACTCAAGATTTCCTGTCATATTGTTCCAATCAGTTTGTCTAAAGTTAAAATCTCCCATTATCACAACATTTTCATATCTAGATGCCTTATGAATTTCGTCCCATAACAGCTTACTGCACTCCCTATCAAGGTTTGGGGTCCTATAAATCACACCCAAAATTAATTTTTCACGTCCCTCGAGAAACTGTAGCCAAACAGATTCTGTGTTCGATGTTTCTAGTCTTATATCATACCTAAGACAACAATTTAAATTTTCTCTGACATACATCGCCACTCCACCACCCTTCCTGTTGACCCTATCAGTGTGGAATAGTTTATAACCCTGTATGTTGCATTCAGAAAGCGTTTCTCTATCTTTCAGGTTGAACCAGGTCTCTGTTTTACCAATAATATCTATATTACCTGCACTTGCAAGCAATCTTAGCTCATCTATCTTATTTCTTAGACTCCTACTATTTGTATAGTAAACCTTAGGGGAGCTAGTCACTCGTTGCCCTCTAATATCTCTGTTTGTTGATCAACTGATTTGCCACTACTAGCAACTTTATTTTGAATATTGTCTTTTAAACATATCCCTGAGATATCCCGGTAATAAATGCTGTTTTTAACGCTAATACTGCAGCCTGATCGTTTCCCACAAACACCCATACCTCTATAATCTATCAGTTTAAATTCCTAGACAAGTCATCAATTACCCTCTCAATCGAATTGGCTAATGTAACCACTCCATCCCCAGACAGATGAACCCCATCCCTTGCATACATATCACGTTTGCCAAAGAATAGGTCCCAGTTATCAATGAATGAGATTACAAGTTCCTTGCAGTACCTGTCTAGCCAGCAATTTATACCAATTGCCCTAGACATCCATTCATTGCCCACTCCCTTTCTAGGCAAGATGCTACATATGACTGGGATCCCTCCCTTAGACCTAACTACTTCTATGGCTGACCTGTACTTATCCAGCAGCTCCTCTATCCTGCCCTTCCCAATGTCATTACCCCCAGCACTAAGACAGATAATGGGCTTGTTCCCATTACCTGCCATAATGTTATCCAGCCTGCTGACTATGTCACCAACACCAGCTCCAGGAAGGCACACTCTCTGTCTGACCTTTCTGTCTCTGTTACAAAATGCATGGTTCATATATCTTACCTGAGAATTGCCTATTAAAATAGTATTACCTTGATTAGCAAGGGAATCAGTGGTACCTTCAATCTCACTAACCACTGAAGTACACTCGTCTTGGAGAACAGAGAATCGATTTCCTACCTTCACATCTTCTCTATGAACTCTCCTCATCTTCCTTCTTCCTGAACTGTGAACCACTTGCCACTTAAAGCGGCTGCCACCATCACTGCTGGTGACCATTTCCTCCTTACCAGCTAAATCCTTCTCACACTCCCAAACTCATCTATGCGAAGCTTCAGCCTCCTATTTTCCTCCTGAAGAAGTAAAATCTCCTTCTTCAACACTTGAACCTGAGATTCTAAAACACTACAACAAGCCATGGTGCTTGGTAACAGCCCACGCTAACTCTCAAGAGCTTAGGCAGGTATGACTACACGTGACCAATATATATATATATATATATATATATATATATATATATATATATATATATATATATATATATATATATATCAATAACAACACTGCACTAGCCAAGGAGTGGGAACTCCTTGGCTAGCGCAGTGTTGTTATTGATCAATAACACTCGTTTCGTGGTTACAATAATATATATATATATATATATATATATATATATATATATATATATATATATATATATATATATATATATATATATATATATAATATATATTCTGACTATTCCTTTCGCGTTTTGCATGCATGGAGATAGAGGAGGCTGGGCTTATGACATACAGGGATACCTTTCTCGGATCGCACATTGACCAAAGTATATCTAGTTTAATTATTATTTCAGATACTTACGTGAAGGTCCAGAAAGAGAGGTAGCGTGGAGGCAGCCATGGGGTGCTCCACTACGCAGCGTGTAAAGAAAAACACCTGAGTGAGGAGACAATAACGTTGTGAACCTTGTCTTCACGGTGTGACAAGGCTAAAACCAACACCTGTAGGTTACCTGTAGTCTCTTTCAGGGTTTACAGCCTCCGAACTAGTCCTGGTTACTGGAGGCCAGCCATATGCAGACCAATGTATGCACCACAGCCTGGTTAAACAGGATCTAACTTAAGGACCTTATAAAGTTCCCTCTTGGCATCGTCACTGACATGAACAAAACCTGTGACTGGTTCCAATAGGTTTTTTCCGACTCTCGAAGCTTGGAATGAGGCTACACCAATGTCAGACTTAACTGGTGGCGATCTGATCAGGTTGCTGCTTCATGCGACTCTCTCATGCCATAGTGTAAGAATTTAAATTTGATATTTTACTTTGCGACGAGAACAGATATAATAGTCAATAAAGTTAGAGAGAAATAACAGGAACATCATAACACAGAAATATTAGTTAGACAAAAGACATGTATCCAGCTGGACAGACACAAAAACAACTGCCCTCCAACCAGTTTTATTATTACTTCTGTATTCAATACAACTTGTGTTTATACATAATAATTCGCGTATTGAATATTGCTGACATCAATAATGCATTGTTTATGAAGAATTAAATATTCCCTGCAAGCACCAGTACGCTATCCACCCAACTGTTTATGTGGGCGAGTTACCTTCCACAGGAGCCTCGTCTCATTGCCGACATACCTATCCACGTCAATCCAAAAAACTCCCAATCATATACTCCCTATTTTCTCCCCATTAGACAATATTATCTACAACCCATCCACCCCTGTTTCCTCTTCAAAAGTGTTAGGAGATATTACTCTGATAGCTAGGCTTTATTTACCCACGCACTCGCACACGGCGTGTCATGGGTGTTACCACTGATGGCTCTCTATGGAAAACCATGTATCGCATGAAAGGCATTACTTACCCCTGAGGGCTGGCATCTCTAAGGTGTGCATCTTGGAGAGGGTGACCAGCAGGGCGAAGCTCTCGTCGTTAACGGACACTTTGAAGAGTGTCCTCCCGCGGATGATCTGAAGTGAGGGCAGTACAATCTTCTTCACGTCCACGTGTGAGATCAAGAGGTAGCCAGTCACCTGTGAGTGGATTATAGTTATACCTAAGCCGTATATGTTTTAAATACCATAATTACGTCTACGTCACCTGTGTGATTGATGTATAGTTATATCTACGTCACATGTGTGACAGACATAAGTTATATTTACGTCACATGTGTGAGGAGATAGAATAGTTGTATCTACACTCAGTCAACTGCGCGAGGCTATCACACCATATACTATTCTAAAAGTGAAAAAAATATAGCCACTTGCAGGGATACAACATTAAGATGAATTATAATCAGAATACTCGACAGCTTTCTGCAAGTGACCAGCGACGGGGGAGCACAAACACTCTGGTAAATATGACAACACACAACGCGGTTTATGTCATTTTTTTATTAATACCTTTCATCTATTTTATCAATTGATAAAATCCCTGCCGGACTAAACGTCTTCTCAATAAAATACCATAACCCGCAGTGTGTATTATACATAGTGTCTATATACTCTAACAGTGTATTGCCAAAATCAATCATTTATTGGTATCATTCGCAGCTACTTTTGACAAGGAAAGTTATAAAAACTTGTGTATATACACAAATTTGAAGGATTTATACAAGAACTTGAAAGATTTGTAAGAACTTGAAGGATCTGTAAGAACTTGAATGATTTACAAAAACTAGGATTTACAAGAGTTTTAAACATTTACAAGAATTTGAAGGATATACAAAAACTTGAAGAATTTACAAAAACCTGAAGGATTTACAAGAACTCGGTGGACTGCAAGAACTTAGAATGAATAAGAACCACAATACCATGGCTGGAACAAGACACAGATACAAACTGGAGATGGACAGCAAACAATGTTTCAGTCCTTACTGGACACAATGTTTCAGTCCTTCCTGGACGCAATGTTTCAGTCCTTCCTGGACACTAACAACTAGTTTTCATTTCAAATTCGTTGACATTGAAAAACCTGGATGATTTACTAGGTGAACATCAAAATGGTATACAATACCGACAGGTTGTTAGGTAAGACACATATGCAACAGTTAGACAACTTTATTCCGAAACGTTTCGCCTACACAGTAGGCTTCTTCAGTCGAATACAGAAAGTAGGCAGGAACAGTAGAGATGTGAAGACGATGTAATCAGTCCATCACCCTTAAAGTCGTAGAATTTGAGGTTGTCAGTCCCTCGGCCGAGGGACTGACAACCTCAAATTCTACGACTTTAAGGGTGATGGACTGATTACATCGTCTTCACATCTCTACTGTTCCTGCCTACTTTCTGTATTCGACTGAAGAAGCCTACTGTGTAGGCGAAACGTTTCGGAATAAAGTTGTCTAACTGTTGCATATGTGTCTTACCTAACATGATTTACTAGGACTTTACAGATTTAAATGACAGTTACTGAGTTTTATAACCGGCGTGTGATAATACCAGGAGTTGCTATAACCGGCAGGTGTCACTACCACTGCAGTATGTCACTACCACAACAAGACATTACCCCTACAATCTCTCTATTATCACCAAGTGAAAATCACCACCAGGACAGATTCTCGCTACCGCCAGGCGTGAGGACTCACCTCACGGATGTACTGGAGGAAGGAGAGGTCCAGGTTCTCGTCTTGAAGCCAGGTGAGTTCTAGGTTACCGTCCACGTAAGTGCAGTTGATGAATCGATCGCGCAGGTTCCTGTAGTGATGGTCTCTGTTGGAAGGAACTGACATGCGGCCAGTCGTCCCAATGCATACTGTAGGGAGAGAGAGATAAACAGGTGTTAGTGTTAGAGGAACGATGTTAATGAGAGTAACACACCTGAGTGAGATGAACATACAGTACACTAGTGTGAGGTGAACATACAGTACACTTGTGTGAGATGAACATACAGTACACTAGTATGAGATGAACATGAAGTACACTAGTGTGAGATGAACATACAGTACACTAGTATGAGATGAAGATACAGTACCCTAGTGTGAGATGAACATACAGTACACTAGTGTGAAATGAACGCACAGTACACTAGTGTGAGATGAACATACAGTACACTAGTGTGAGATGAACATACAGTACACTAGTGTGAGATGAACATACAGTACACTAGTGTGAGATGAACATACAGTACACTAGTGTGAGATGAAGATACAGTATACTAGTGTGAGATGAACATACAGTACACTAGTGTGAGATGAACATACAGTACACTAGTGTGAGATGAACATACAGTACACTAGTGTGAGATGAACATACAGTACACTAGTGTGAGATGAACATACAGTATACTAGTGTGAGATGAAGATACAGTACACTAGTGTGAGATGAACATACAGTACACTAGTGTGAGATGAACATACGTACACTAGTGTGAGATGAACATACAGTACACTAGTGTGAGATGAAGATACAGTACACTAGTGTGAGATGAACATACAGTACACTAGTGTGAGATGAACATACAGTACACTAGTGTGAGATGAACATACAGTACACTAGTGTGAGATGAACATACAGTTTACTAGTGTGAGATGAAGATACAGTAACTAGTGTGAGATGAACATACAGTACACTAGTGTGAGATGACATACAGTACACTGTGTGAGTGAACATACAGTACACTAGTGTGAGATGAACATACAGTACACTAGTGTGGATGACATACAGTACAACTAGTGTGAGATTGAACATACAGTACACTAGTGTGAGATGAACATACAGTACACTAGTGTGAGATGAACATACAGTACACTAGTGTGAGATGAACATACAGTACACTAGTGTGAGATGAACATACAGTACACTAGTGTGAGATGAACATACAGTTTACTAGTGTGAGATGAAGATACAGTACACTAGTGTGAGATGAACATACAGTACACTAGTGTGAGATGAACATACAGTACACTAGTGTGAGATGAACATACAGTACACTAGTGTGAAGATGAAATACAGTACACTAGTGTGAGATGAACATACAGTACACTAGTGTGAGATGAACATACAGTACACTAGTGTGAGATGAACATACAGTACACTAGTGTGAGATGAACATACAGTACACAGTGTGAGATGAACATACAGTACACTAGTGTGAGATGAACATACAGTACACTAGTTGAGATGAACATACAGTACACTAGTGTGAGATGAACATACAGTACACTAGTGTGAGATGAACATACAGTACACTAGTGTGAGATGAACTACAGTACACTAGTGTGAGATGAACATACAGTAACTAGTGTGAGATGAACATACAGTACACTAGTGTGAGATGAACATACAGTACACTAGTGTGAGATGAACATACAGTACACTAGTGTGAGATGAACATACAGTACACTAGTGTGAGATGAACATACAGTACACTAGTGTGAATGAACATACAGTACACTAGTGTGAGATGAACATACAGTACACTAGTTGAGATGAACATACAGTACACTAGTGTGAGATGAACATACAGTACACTAGTGTGAGATGAACATACAGTACACTAGTGTGAGATGAACATACAGTACACTAGTGTGAGATGAACATACAGTACACTAGTGTGAGATGAACATACAGTACACTAGTGTGAGATGAACATACAGTACACTAGTGTGAGATGAACATACAGTACACTAGTGTGAGATGAACATACAGTACACTAGTGTGAGATGAACATACAGTACACTAGTGTGAGATGAACATACAGTACACTAGTGTGAGATGAACATACAGTACACTAGTGTGAGATGAACATACAGTACACTAGTGTGAGATGAACATACAGTACACTAGTGTGAGATGAACATACAGTACACTAGTGTGAGATGAACATACAGTACACTAGTGTGAGATGAACATACAGTACACTAGTGTGAGATGAACATACAGTACACTAGTGTGAGATGAACATACAGTACACTAGTGTGAGATGAACATACAGTACACTAGTGTGAGATGAACATACAGTACACTAGTGTGAGATGAACATACAGTACACTAGTGTGAGATGAACATACAGTACACTAGTGTGAGATGAACATACAGTACACTAGTGTGAGATGAACATACAGTACACTAGTGTGAGATGAACATACAGTACACTAGTGTGAGATGAACATACAGTACACTAGTGTGAGATGAACATACAGTACACTAGTGTGAGATGAACATACAGTACACTAGTGTGAGATGAACATACAGTACACTAGTGTGAGATGAACATACAGTACACTAGTGTGAGATGAACATACAGTACACTAGTGTGAGATGAACATACAGTACACTAGTGTGAGATGAACATACAGTACACTAGTGTGAGATGAACATACAGTACACTAGTGTGAGATGAACATACAGTACACTAGTGTGAGATGAACATACAGTACACTAGTGTGAGATGAACATACAGTACACTAGTGTGAGATGAACATACAGTACACTAGTGTGAGATGAACATACAGTACACTAGTGTGAGATGAACATACAGTACACTAGTGTGAGATGAACATACAGTACACTAGTGTGAGATGAACTTTACAGTACACTAGTGTGAGATGAACATACAGTACACTAGTGTGAGATGAACATACAGTACACTAGTGTGAGATGAACATACAGTACACTAGTGTGAGATGAACATACGTTAATGGACTACATACTTGTCTATGCGTGTGTGTGGAGGGGGGAAGGTTTGGGGGGCAGTTCAAGCTTCTATGGTCTAGTGAAGGTTTTTATTTACTTTTATTGAAGTAATAGGTAAAAGATATTTGGCTAAACCCATATAGGTGCTATGTCACCTATATGGGTATTGCTTTTTTTTGTGAATGTAACAGCAACAATAATTATAATTACATCATGTCAGAGTTTATAATTATTGATAATGATTCTCATGTCTTGTCTTTAACGAGTATTGTGAATTTTGGCAATTTTTTTTCGAAATAAAATAGATCATTTAATTGTATGATGCGTCTTACAGAGGCCAAGTTTTGTATCCGAGGAAAAGTCAATGTGAGAGTTTTTACGAGGGAGGAAACTGAGTAGAGAGAAGTGCAGTGAGAGACTCGGGAGGTATCTTGTTGGAGAGATAGTGAGAGAATCAGGAGGTATCCTGTTGGGAAGGTAGTGAGAGACTCAGGAGGTATCGTGTACGAGGAGGTAGTGAGAGACGCAGGAGGTATCGTGTAGGAGGAGGTAGTGAGAGACTCAGGAGGTATCGTGTAGGAGGAGGTAGTGAGAGACGCAGGAGATATCGTGTAGGAGGAGGTAGTGAGACGGTGGAGACCTCGTCCACCTCCCAGCCACCCGCCCAGCGACTTCTGAGTCAACACGGCTCTGGTGACCACAGCGCGGGGGCCTCACCCTCCCAGCCAATCACCAGCCTTCGCGCTCTTTTTCCTGCTGACATTGTATATATCTGACGAAGAGCTCACACTTCCAGCCATTATCCAGCATTTGCACTCTTTTTTTTCTTATTGACACTGTACATGTCTAATAAAGAGCTCACTTTCCCTACCAGTCAACATCTGCGCTCTTTGCTGTGGCTTCCTTCCAGTAAACACCAGCCTTCGAGGTTTTTCGTTACTTTCCTCAACCATCACCAACCGTCTTACTCTTTCCTTGCTTACACGAATATCCCGGAAAGTTGACCTCGAAAAAACACCTAACCGTTAATCAATAAATAACTTTCATTTCCATTTAGTGCACCAAGTCCTGCATTCGTCGATCTATTCAAATGTTCCTAAGAATTATTTTTACTCTCCCAAAGCACAGGGCCAATCAGAGAAGACGTTATTCAGAGATGTAATCTTAGCAGTGTAGCTGGCGGCAGCGTCGAGCAAGTGGCAGTAAGTATCAGGTTACTCTTAAGCTGGATATTCTATACTCACATACGTCAAGATGAGAGCTTCTTGATAGGGTTGCCTGCCGATGACCACGAAGGGTTTAGGTATAACTTCTGCACAACACACAGGCTCACCTTACTGAAGCTATTTTGCATACTTGGCAATTTGGGTCTTGTTAAGTAGAAGGACACATGTGCAACTAATGCGACATTTTATTGTGGCAACGTTTCGCTCTCCAAGAGCTTTGTCAAGCTTTTACATAACAGCTTGACAAAGCTCCTGGAGAGCGAAACGGTGCCGCAATAAAATGTCGCATTAGTTGTACATAGTGTCTTTATACCTAATATTTTGTCGGTAATTCTACCAATATTATTACATTCTTTTCAGTAACTTATTCTCATTTGAGTAATGGCAAAAAAATAGTTCAAAATTATCTGGTAAACTAATCTTAGCAATCAGGTATTAGATATTACTGTATCTATGAAACCCATATACAACACGGGAACTCTTGGATATCCAACAGGCATGTGTGAGCGTGCTAGACAGAAGTGTGTGAGCGTGCTAGACAGGAGTGTGAGCGTGCTTGACAGAAGTGTGTGAGCGTGCTAGACAGAAGTGTGTGAGCGTGGTAGACAGGAGTGTGTGAGCGTGCTAGACAGAAGTGTGTGAGCGTGCCAGACAGAAGTGTGTGAGCGTGCTAGACAGGAGTGTGTGAGCGTGCTAGACAGAAGTGTGTAAGCGTGCTAGACAGAAGTGTGTGAGCGTGGTAGACAGGAGTGTGTGAGCGTGCTAGACAGAAGTGTGTGAGCGTGCTAGACAGAAGTGTGTGAGCGTGCTAGACAGAAGTGTGTGAGAGTGCTAGACAGGGTTGGGGGCAAGTGGCTTATGACTTCAAGTGTTGTAGTGTGAGCAAGGTAACATTTATGAAGGGACTGAGGGAAACCGGTTAGCCGGACTAGAGTCCTGGAAATGGCAAGTAGAGTGCCTGCACTCTGGAGGAGGGGTGGGGATGTTACAGTTTTGAGGGGCATCCGACCTGTAATGTCGACGTGTCTCTTTCAAGGCGGTGATGGAGCGAGTGATGGTGAGTGTTTCTTCTTTATCGGGTCACCCTACCTCGGTAGGAGACGGCCGATGTGTTATAATAATAATAATAATAATAATAATAATAATAATAATAATAATAATAATAATAATAATAATAGGACTAGAAACTATTAAAAAAGGCAATGAATATGGCGAGACCAGAAAGTTGGACTATGATCGTGATTACATAAAACTTTAAATACACAAATGCATTCCAATATGAATGATAAACTACAGGTAACAACACAGGAGTAATTAAGCTTACTTACCTGTCTTCAGCAACCTTCCTCAGCTCTCTAATGGATATGTCTTGCTCTCCTCTACTACTACATTACTTAGAACGAAATTCTGGAGACACAAGAGCCCCCTCAACTCTGATCTGAGCTCTGTGACTCACCTGTCAATTGATTTCCTAACCACAAGATATTATAAGAGAGGTTTCTCTCTCTTTCTCTCTCTCTCTCTCTCTCTCTCTCTCTCTCTCTCTCTCTCTCTCTCTTCTCTCTCTCTCTCTCTCTCTCTCTCTCTCTCTCTCTCTCTCTCTCTCGAGCTCCAGAGATAGCTCATGGGTCACAACAAAACCAAAATATACTCACTCTTGCCCTTATTGAAGTCTGTGGACTTGTCAGCCCAGGCTGAGGTGAAGGTGGCACAGATGCCCAAGATGAGGTAGGCTGGCACTACCATGCGAGCCATCCCCTCTATACCACCGCGCTTACATACACTCTGATTTATATATCTATATATTATATATCTATAATTTCTCTATATGGCACTAGAAGTCTTTTATAACAGAGGCGAGAGTTTATAGTAGCCATGAGGCTGACTCAGCCATCCGCCCGACTCATCGTGCATCTTGAGGAGCGCCTGGGGAACGGGAGGCGGCAACGAGCGGGTCCCTGGCAGGTCTTGCCTACCATGGTTCCTACCGGAGCCGCAGGACCCGCAAGAGAGGATGGGCGGCCAATGGCACCACCTTCACGCCCATTATCTGCTGCTGCTGGCGGTGGGCGCTGCCATGATCACCGCTGCTGGGGGAGGAACAACATTGCCGAGGCGTGAGGTTACTGCTCGTCTTACAACAGTGTGAGAACCTTGTGTTTGCCTCTGGGATGTCTGCCCACCTATAATTACCTATAATTACTGATTTCCTTATTAAAAAAAGTAGTATATGCCGTTCTTAGAGTCGTCACAGAGTTGTTACAAAGTCGTCACAGAGTTGTTACAAAGTCGTTATAAAGTCGTTACAAAGTCGTTATAAAGTCGTTACAAAGTCGTTATAAAGTTATAAAGTTGTTACAAAGTCGTTATAAAGTTGCTACAAAGTCGTTATAAAGTCGTTACAAAGTCGTTATAAAGTCGTTATAAAGTTGTTACAAAGTCGTTATAAAGTCTTTACAAAGTCGTTATAAAGTCGTTACAAAGTCGTTATAAAGTCGTTACAAAGTCGTTATAAAGTTATAAAGTTGTTACAAAGTCGTTATAAAGTTGTTACAAAAAGTCGTTAAAAGGTTATAAAGTCGTTACAAAGTCGTTATAAAGTCGTTAAAGTCGTTATAAAGTCGTTACAAAGTTCGTTATAAAGTTATAAAGTCGTTACAAAGTCGTTATAAAGTCGTTGCAAAGTCGTTATAAAGTCGTTACAAAAACATAACTTATAAAACGTTCTATAAATAAAAATAAACAATAATAATAATAAAAAATAACAACATAAATAAATACCAATAAAAAATAAAACTAAACAAAAACAATAAACAAAAACCAACAAAAACAAACAAGAGCAATAAATAATAAAACAAAAACTAACAATAAACAAAAACAATAAAATAAATAAAACAATAATAAACAAAAAACAAACAATAGCACATTAATAACAAAAATAAAATAAAAATTATCAATAAACACCAACAAAAACAAAAACAAACAATAGGTAAAACAACAAAAACAATAAATAAAAATAACAATAACAGTAAGCAATAACAATAACAAAAAATAACAAGCAATAACTAGTATGGGTGACGCTCCGTGACACTCATACGAGTTTAGCGCATTTTTTTTGTTTTGAGATGTGCCATTGAAGTCATTAGGAGAGTTTATTAACAGGAGCAACCGGTAGCCGCCAGTGTAAGGGCTCTTGGTCCAGGGAACTGGAGCTACTTTCTCCTTCCTTGAAACAACTTTGATTCCCTCTCATACTTCGGGCGCTGCGTCACCCCGACGTGTTTAGTGCTTCCCTGTGGATGTAATGTGAAGTGAGAGATATATCAACCCAGGCTGTCAACCAGGAACAAGGCTGTCAACCAGGCTATTAACAAGGCAGGCACTCAGCAAGGCTGTCAAAAGACAGTCAACCAGGCTGTCAACAACACAGTCAACCAGGCTGTCAACAACACAGTCAACCAGGCTGTCAACAAGACAATTAGGTTGTCAACAAGGCAGTCAACCAGGCTGTCGACAAGACAATCAGGCTGTCAACAAGACAGTCAACCAGACTGTCAACAAGACAGTCAACCAGGCTGTCAACAAAACAGTCAACCAGACTGTCAACAAGAAAGTCAACAAGGTTGTCAAAAAGACAGTCAACCAGGCTGTCAACAAGACAGTCAACCAGGCTGTCAACAAGACAGTCAGCCAGGCTGTCATCAAGACAGTCAACCAGGCTGTCAACAAGACAGTCAGCCAGGCTGTCAATAAGACAGTCAACCAGGCTGTCAACAAGACAGTCAACCAGGCTGTCAACAAGACAATCAGGCTGTCAACAAGACAGTCAACCAGGCTGTCAACAAGACAGTCAACCAGGCTGTCAACAAAACAGTCAACCAGGCTGTCAACAAGAAAGTCAACAAGGTTGTCAAAAAACAGTCAACCAGGCTGTCAACAAGACAGTCAACCAGGCTGTCAACAAGACAGTCAGCCAGGCTGTCAACAAGACAATCAACCAGGCTGTCAACAAGACAATCAGGCTGCCAACAAGACAGTCAACCAGGCTGTCAACAAGACAGTCAACCAGGCTGTCAACAAGACAGCCAACCAGTCTGTAAACGGGACAGTCAATCAGGCTATCAACAAGACAGTCAACTAGGCTGTCAACAAGGCAGTCAAACAGGCTGTCAACAAGACAATCAGGCTGTCAACAAGACAGTCAACCAGGCTCTCAACAAGACAGCCAACCAGGTTGTAAACGGGACAGTCAATCAGGCTATCAACAAGACAGTCAACAAGGCTGTCAACAAGACAGTCAACCAGGCTGTCAACAAGACAGTCAGTCAAGCTGTCAAGAAGACAGTTAACCATACTGTCAACAAGACAGTCAGCCAGGTTGTCAACAAGACAGCCAACTAGGCTGTCAACAACACAATTAGGCTGTCAACAAGACAGCCAACCAGGCTGTCAACAAGACAACCAGGCTGTCAACAAAACAGTCAACCAGGCTGTCAACAAGTCAGTCAACCAGGCTGTCAAAAAGACAGTCAACCAAGCTGTCAACAAGACAGTCAACCAGGCTGTCAACAAGATAGTCAGCCAGGCTGTCAAAAAGACAGTCAACCAGGCTGTCAACAAGACAGTCAATCAGGCTGTCAACAAGACAGTCAATTAGGCTGTCAGCAAGACAGTCAACCAGGCTGTCAACAAGACAGTCAACCAGGCTGGCAACAAGACAGTCAATCAGGCTGTCAACAAGACAATCAACCAGGTTGTCAACAAGACAGTCAACCAGGCTATCAACAAGACAATCAGGCTGTCAACAAGATAGTCAACCAGGCTGTCAACAAGGCAGTCAACCAGGTTATCAACAAGACAATCAGGCTGTCAACAAGACAGTCAACCAGGCTGTCAACAAGACAGTCAGTCAAGCTGTCAAGAAGACAGTTAACCATACTGTCAACAAGACAGTCAGCCAGGTTGTCAACAAGACAGTCAACCAGGCTATCAACAAGACAATCAGGCTGTCAACAAGATAGTCAACCAGGCTATCAACAAGACAGTCAACCAGGCTGTCAACAAAACAGTCAACAAGACTGTCAACAAAACAGTCAACCAAGCTGTCAACAAAACAATCAACCAGGCTGTCAACAAAACAGTCAACCAGGCTGTCAACAAAACAGTCAACCAGGCTGTCAACAAGACAGTCAACCAGGCTGTCAACAAGAGAATTAGGCTGTCAACAAGACAGTCAACAAGAGCTGTCAACAAGACAGTCAACCAGGCTGTTAACAAGACAATCAGGCTGTCAACAAGACAGTCAACCAGGCTGTCAACAAGACAGTCAACCAGGCTGGCAACAAGAGAGCCAATCAGGCTGTCAACAAGACAATCAGGCTGTCAACAAGATAGTCAATCAGGCTGTCAACAAGACAGCCAACCAGGACTGTAAACGGGACAGTCAATCAGGCTATCAACAAGACAGTCAACCAGGCTGTCAACAAAACAGTCAACCAGGCTGTCAACAAAACAGTCAACAAGGCTGTCAACAAAAGTCAACCAAGCTGTCAACAAGAAAATCAACCAGGCTGTCAACAAGACAGTCAACCAGGCTGTCAATAAAAAAGTCAACCAGGCTGTCAGCAAAACAGTCACCAGGCTGTCAACAAAAACAGTCAACCAGGCTGTCAACAAGAAAGTCAACCAGGATGTCAACAAGACAGTCAACCAGGCTGTCAACAAGACAGTCAACCAGGCTGTCACCAAGACAGTCAACTAGGCTGTCAACAAGACAGTCAACCAGGCTGTCAATAAGACAGTCAACCAGGCTGTCAACAAGACAGTCAACCAGGCTGTCAACAAGACAATCAGGCTATCAACAAGACAGTCAACCAGGCTGTCAACAAAACAGTCAACAAGGCTGTCAACAAAAGTCAACCAAGCTGTCAACAAGAAAATCAACCAGGCTGTCAACAAGACAGTCAACCAGGCTGTCAATAAAAAAGTCAACCAGGCTGTCAGCAAAACAGTCAACCAGGCTGTCAACAAAAACAGTCAACCAGGCTGTCAACAAGAAAGTCAACCAGGATGTCAACAAGACAGTCAACCAGGCTGTCAACAAGACAGTCAACCAGGCTGCCAACAAGACAGCCAACCAGGATGTAAACGGGACAGTCAACCAGGCTGTCAACAAGACAGTCAACTAGGCTGCCAACAAGACAGCCAACCAGGATGTAAACGGGACAGTCAATCAGGCTATCAACAAGACAGTCAACCAGGCTATCAACAAAACAGTCAACAATGCTGTCAACAAAACAGTCAACCAAGCTGTCAACAAAACAGTCAACCAGGCTGTCAACAAAAGTCAACCAGGCTATCAACAAAACAGTCAACAATGCTGTCAACAAAACAGTCAACCAAGCTGTCAACAAGAAAGTCAACCAGGATGTCAACAAGACAGTCAACCAGGCTGTCAACAAGACAGTCAACCAGGCTTTAAACAAGACAGTCAACTAGGTTTTTCAGGCTGTCAACAAGTCAACCAGGATGTCAGACTGTGGACCCAGCTATCAACCAGGCTGTTTTCGGGTTCCCGCTCTATTTTTATGGTTCGCGTACTGAATATTGAGGTAGCAGCGCCAGTGCATGAAGTAGCGAGAACACCAACAGCCTGCTTGATTGTTAGATGTGACCATGTGTGTGTGCGTGTCACAAGTAACAACTTTTTTTTCTTTGAGGGTCACCAGGAAGATAAGCAGCGGCCGCTGCAGCAGCAGTACCAGTAACAGCAGAAAGACAACTTCAGCAACAGCAGCAGCCACGGTAACAGCAACAGCAGTAACAACACCTGTAATAGTAGTTATAGTAGGAACAGCAGTAGTAACCACGGTAGCAGCAGCACTAGCCCTAGAGGCAGCAGTAGTAGTAGTAGCAACAGCAGCTGTAGCCATGGTACTAGGGGCAGCAGTAATAGTAGCCAGGGTAGTAACATCAGGAACAGTAGCTACGGTAGTGGCAAGAGCAGCAGTAGCCACAGTAGCAACAGCAACAGTAGTAGCCACGGTAGCAGGAGCAGTAGCCGCGGTAGCAGGAGCAGTAGCCACGGTAG